GCATGAGCCACGATCTCAAGAACAGGCTGGACTGCTGTTTTTGGAGTGGTCCGGGTCTACCTGGACTTCTCAGTTAGCAGCACTGAATATCAGACAGACTAGCTAAAAAAAACCCCAACCCCTAAACCATGGCCGGATTAACCATTAAGCAGACTAAGCACGTGATTAGGGCACCAGGGACAAAGGGGGCACCACAAAGTTGGGGGAAAGCGTGAAAACAAAAGAAAAAACCCAAATGAAGATTTGTAAAAAGAAAAAAATTGATAAAATTTATAAAACTAGTGCAAATTGATCATGGTGCACCCTAGGGTTATCTTCTATTTTTTGTCGGCAAGGCGCATTGTCATAGTAAAGGTAAAGGTCTCCCTTGCTCGAAAGCCAGTCGAATCCGACTCTAGGGTTGTGGTGCTCATCTCCGTTTCAAAGCCGAAGAGCCAGCGCTGTCCGAAGACGTTTCCGTGGTCGTGTGGCCAGCATGACTAAATACCAAGGCGCACAGAACGCTGTTACCTTCCCACCAAAGTGGTATCTATTTATCTACTTGCAGTTTCTTGCTTTCAAACTGCTACTTTGGCAGGAGCTGGAACTAGTCGTAGTGTGATAGGCTATGTTTAAAAGTAAAATGCCTGTGTTTAAAAGTAAAATGACGGAGCCAAATTCAGTTGTCATGACAGTGTGGAAAGGAGGGGGGCACCAAGAGTGGTCAGTGCTTTAGGGCACCAGTGAGCCTTAATCTGCCCCTGCCCTAAGCGCTGCTTTCTATTAAGACAGACTTACAGTCCAAGCAGCTTGGGATTTAGCCTGCACTGATGGCAGCTCTCCGTGTTTCAGAGGTCCCCTCCTGCCCCAACAGCTGAAATTCTGTGTAACCCAACGGAAGCAAAAACCTGAATTTGGAACCCCACCGGGGTAAACAAGCCGTCCTCTGCTTGACTATGGCCCTCATGGCAGGTAGACAAAGATCTGAACACACACAGGAGAACCTGCCTTCTACTGAATCAGAGCCTCGGTCCATCGAGGTCAGTATTATCTGCTCAGACTGGCAGCTGCTCCCTGGGGTCTCAGGCAGAGAAGGGCTTTCATATCACCAACTGCCTGGTCCTTTTCTAACTGGAGATGCCGGGGATTGAACCTGGGACCTTCTGCATGCCAAGCAGGTACTCTACCACTGAGCCACGGCCCCTCTTGACAGCTCTCCGGAGTCTCAGGCAGAGGTCTTTCACATCACCTACTGCCTGGTCCTTTTAACTGGAGATGCTGGGGACTGAACCTGGGACCTTCTGCATGCCAAGCAGAGGCCCTACCACTGAGCCACAGCCTCTCTTTACAGCTCTCCAGGGTCTCGGGCTGAGGTCTTTCCCATCACCTTCTGCCTGGTCCTTTTCTAACTGGAGATGCCGGGGATTGAACCTGGGACCTTCTGCATGCCAAGCAGGTACTCTACCACTGAGCCACGGCCCCTCTTGACAGCTCTCCGGAGTCTCAGGCGGAGGTCTTTCACATCACCTACTGCCTGGTCCTTTTAACTGGAGATGCCAGGGATTGAACCTGGGACCTTCTGCATGCCAAGCAGATGCTCTACCACTGAGCCACAGACCCTGCCTAGTATTGGAGCTGGAGAAGGTCAAGCAGGCACCCTCACAGTAGGCTTGCCAACCTGCAGGTGGGGCCTGGAGATCTCCCTAGAATTAGAACGGAGCTCCAGAAGACAGAGATCAACTCCCCGGGAGAAAATGGCTGCTTTGGAGGGTGGACTCTATGACATCATAAACCGCGGAGGTCTTTCCCCTCCCCAAACCGCGCCCTCATAAGCTACACACACACACCAAAGTCCCCAGGAATTTCCCAACCTGGAGTTGGCAACCTTACCCCCAAAAGGAACGCCGTCTCAGAGGCCTAACTGAGGGGCAAGGAAAGGCAACCAGGCGCAGAATTTTCACACCTCATTAAGGGAATTTTTTTTCCTTTCTCCGCTCATCAGGCAGAGGACATTCGGAGGCGAGGATTTTGGTCGGGAGCCGGTCTGTGGTTTGGAGCTTAATGATGTAGAATAACAGCCCTGCGTTAACAGAGCCCGGAATAAGCAATTACCAGCCTGAACCGCAGAGCAAGAAGCGTGGTGGTGGTGGTCGGGGGACTGCGGATGATTCAAGGGCTGCCATATTGCCGGTGACATTTATAAGAAAGTGACACACGACGCGAGGGGGCCAATGAGACGCGGCGCTGCCAGAGAGGCAGCGGCTGCTGGTTTCTGGCGGTCAGCAGAGGACGGATAAACGGGGGGCCAACCCCCCCCAAGATGCTTCCTTTCCTTGGCCTCCAGGTTGCTGTAGTGGTTAAGAGAGTGGACTCTCATCTGGGAGAAGTGGGTTTCACATACAGCTGCTGGTGTGACCTTGGGTCAGTCGTAAGTTCTCTCAGAGCTGTTCTCTCAAAGAGCAGTCCTCGAGAGAGCTCTCTCAGCCCCGCCTACCTCACAGGGTGTCTGTGGTGGGGAGGGGAAGGGGAAGGAGATTGTAAGCCGCTCTGAGACTCTGAGTAGAGGGTGGGGTATAAATCCAGTCTCCTCCTCCTCCTCCTCCTCCTCTTCTTCTTCTTTGGGGTGGGCTCCCCCAAACTCCAGTTTATTTTGTTTACATCTCGCCTTTCTTCCCAATGGGGACTCAAAGCGGCTTACGCCGTCCCCTTCTCCTCCATTTTATCCTCAGAACAACCCTATAAGGTAGGCCAGTCTAAGGGTGTGGGACTGGCCCAGCCAGTTTGGTGTAGTGGTTAAGTCTGCGGACTCTAATCTGGGAGAACCGGGTTTGAGTCCCCACTCCTCCACTTGCACCTGCTGATGTGACCTTGGGTCAGTCACAAGCTCTGGCACAGGTGTTCTTGAAAAAGAGCAGTTTGTGTCAGAGTTCTCTCAGCCCCACCCACCTCACAGGGTGTCTGTTGTGGGGAGGGGAAGGGAAAGGAGTTTGTAAGCCGCTCTGAGACACCTTCGGGTAGTGAAGGGCAGGGTATAAATCCAATCTCTTCTTCTCTTCTTCTTTGGTGGCAGAGCAGGGATTCGAACCTGGGCCTCCCGCATCCTAGACTGACCCTCTGACCGCTCACACCAAACCGGCCCCCAAAAAGCCCCCGGCAAGACCCCCAAAACCCCCCCCCCCCCCGAGATTCCGACTCTCTTTGACATTTACTTCCTATGGGCTTGGCCAAATCCCACTTTCGGCACGCAGATCTCATTCCGCCCAATCCGTCTGGAACTTTCTTCTGCATGTTCCAAGGGAACGTAAGCAGCAGGGACACAGGGGGAAAGTCCCCCCGAGGACGGCTCCTTGATTTCATGGTCCCGAGGCTCAGAAGACACACCGGAAGTCCCGCCCGGGACCGACGCTCTGTGGAACCTGAGGCTCAACTAGATGCAAAAAGAGCATCCAGATACATGTATCCCCCTGTCCAGCAGGAGGGGGGGGCTTTTCTTTTAGAGGTCACAATGAGGGGAGATAAACCCTGACCCTCCGCCTGACTAGCTCCAGCTACACTCCCTTGGGAGCATTTTTCTCCAGTTTAGTGTGGTCCCAGGATTGGAACTATGGCTTGGAGAAACATTTCTTTATTTAGGAGGAGGAGGAGGAGAAGAAGGAGAAGATTGGATTTATACCCCACCCTTCACGACCCAAAGGCGTCTCAGAGCGGCTTACAAACGCCTTTCCCCTCCCCACAACAGGCACCCTGTGTGGTAGGTGGGGCTGAGAGAGCTCTTTTGAGGACTGCTCCTGAGAGAGCAGCTCTGAGAGAACTTGTGACTGACCCAAGGTCATACCAGCAGCTGCACGTGGAGGGTGTTGGGGACTCAAACCCAGTTCTCCAAGATCGGAGCCTGCATTCCTAACCACTACACCAAACAGGCAACAAACGTTTGGGATTTAAAACATTTAATAGCCACCTTTCTTTCTCACTGGGCAGCTGACGGCAGAGATGAATTCCATAAAAAATACATTAAGAAACACAAGAACCGAAAAGTTTCAAAACTGCCATTCAGGACTGCTGGTAAAGGTAACCAAATGGGGTCTAAATAAAACTGTTTTCAGTTGCCTCCTGAAGATGGAGAGTAAGCCGGATCCCCGTTCTACAGCACAGGGAGCATAAGAGGTGGCCGAGCCTTATAGCAACATTGTTGGCAACAGACAGACTAACTATCGTGGCGGCATGGAAATCTTTCTCTCCCCCAACACCCCTCGCTTGGATCATTTTATAATGGCCAAAATTACGGACAGTATAAATAGATTGCATAACTCTGCTTTTCCAATTTACTCCAAATTTGTATGCATCTGGGCTCCAGTACTCAATACTTTTCTCCCTTCAAATCAAATATATCAAAAAGGGTTGTATCTATAAGTAAGCCTTGATTAATTAGTTTATAAGTTACTGCGGCCTATCACAGCTCGTGACAACTCGTTATAGGTCAATTAAGCGCAGAATAAGTTGCTCTCTTCTAAAGAGTCCTGTTTAACAGGTTCTTCAATGTTCGTTGTACTCTGTTTTTACACTGTTTGATATTTACACTGATATTGTATTCTGTTTTGACACTGGTCCGATATTTACACTGCTTTTTAATCTGTAATGCCTAAACGACATGCAATAAAAGTTACATTAAAAAAGAGAGGTGATCGAGCCTTATTCTGTGGTAGATGGATCCCGAGAATAATGTAACAAAAATGGAAAACCAAACAAGATCAGATCTTGCACACTACTTGGGTCTAGCGCAAGGATGGTAATCTTGCCGCCTGCCCATCATGCTCGTTTCACAATGTTGTCGGATGCCGCTCAGGAAGGGAGTGCCAGTGTTAAAGCCCAGAACTGACTTTGCGAGGCGGTTGGGGGGAAATGGAGCCGACTCTGGAGACAACATCAGCCACTGAAAACACAAAGAAGAGCTCCTGGTCTGCAAAGGGGCGGAGCCGGACCTGCCGCGGTCGTGGTCCCCCCTCCCCCCCCTCACTTCTTACCTTTCGTATCGTTTACCGGATCCATGTGCCTGTAAATGTACCCTTCTAGGTAGGAATGGAACTTGGGGGTGGGCGGGAAGAAGGCCAGGCAGATGGACATGAGCTCCCAGCCCCGGGCTAGGCTCTCGTAGCGGAAGTTCTCCGTCGTCTGCCGGCACAGCTGGATGTAGAGTTCGTCCCGGAGGCCCTGCATGCTCCAGCCCTTGGTGGCGATCTCCAGGGCCACGTTGAGTTGGTCCGTCTTGGCCCGCCGGTCCCCCATGTACATCTGGATGAGCTTGAAGATGTCGCAGGCCTCCTTCTTGACGTTGCGGTCGGTGGTCATGATCATGGGCTTCTTGATGGACTCGCTGCTCCAGGCCAGCATGTTGGCGATGGAGACCTTGCGCCGGAAGAGGCCCTGCGTGTGCTTGTTGAAGTGCTTGGAGGCCCAGTTCTCGATGTCTGTCTCCGAGGAAGGCTTCCTCAGGTTGAAGGTCGGGAAGACGCAGCTGTTGCTGGGCATCATGTTCCTGTTCTGCCTGCTGCTCTCGAACTGGGCACAGGCGCCGAGGTCCTCTGACTGGGGAGGGAAAGGAAAGACAAGGTAGGTGACCACCTGCCGGATACGAGGATTCATCGCCATCCACCACCAGAGAGAGCACGAGCTACCCCCACCCCCACCCCGCCCGCCCATTTTCTATCCTCTCCTCTCCGCACTCTTCTGGTAGAAAACGGCAGCTGTTGCCTCTCCCGCACCGTTGTATGTCATCCACGGACTGCCAAGTGCGTCATTTCCCTATAAATGTCGGCTACGGTATGGCTGTCCTTGAGACACCTGCAAACTGCACCTTTCCCCTGTTTAGGTCTGGCAGTGAAAGCTGGCCATTGCTACGGCGTGCTTTAGGGGGGGAGGACCAGGCTCAGGGGGGAAAGGGTGCCTACAATCAAGTTAGTCATAGGTGGGGAAGTAAAGTAGTGTCTGGCAACCAGCGGGAGGGTTGGGAAGGGGGAGTGTCACGTCACTGCTGGAGAATTTTGTGTACTTAACATAAGGAAATAAGAAGAGAAGCCAATGTTGGGTCAGGCCAATGGCCCACCCAGTCCAACACTCTGTGGCACACAGTGGCCAGAAATACCAGGGGCCATCAGGAGGTCCAGCAGTGGGGCCAGGATGCTAGAAGCCCTCCCACTGTTGCCCCCCCAAGCACCAAGAAGACAGTGCATCACTTGCCCCAGACTGAGAGTTCCTATCTATACCTTGTGGCTAATAGCCACTGATGGACCTCTGCTCCATATGCTTATCTAATTCCCTTCTTGAAGCCGTCCATGCTTGTAGCTGCCACCACCTCCTGTGGCAGTGAATCCCATGTGTTCATCACTCTTTGGGTGAAGAAGAACTTCCTTTTCTCCGTTCTAACCCGACTGCTCAGCAATTTCAGGGAGTGCCCACAAGTTCTTGTATTGTGAGAAAGGGAGAAAAGTACTTATTTCTTTACCTGTTCTATCCCATGCATAATCTCGTAAACCTCGATCATGTTACTTATCGGAAGCTGATACAGAAAGTGACAAGCATAGCTCTAGGAATCACCAGAAACTGAAATAGATACAGGAAGTGACAAAAGGTAGCTCTAGGAATCCCAAGACACTCTTCGCTACCTTTTGTTACTTCCTGTATCAACAGTAAGTACATGAGGGTGCTTCCCCGCCCCTTAATCTTTCCTCCACTGCCCCTTGGAGTGGTGGCGTGCAATAGGCCCT